GAATGGGACCAGAGATGAACACGGATATGCCTTGAGTAGTCCACGGTTTCAGAACATTGAAAAGATCCTCAAAATCCCTTTTTGTGTTCTCTAATTTCCCACGTGACACGTCATTTGTCCCCACATGAACTATGATTCTATAGATTGTAGAGGGCATGGATTGGAGCAGGTCAGGAAGTTTGCTCACAATCTGAGACACCGTGGCTCCAGGAAAACAGTGTGTAATGGCATTAAAATAGCGAACATGCCGGATTATTGAATCGCCGATGATAATTGTTTTGGGGGGAAATAGTGGCTGTGGCTGAAGACCAGTTTGTGGGCCTGTGAGGTGTGGATCATCACCGTGTGAAGAGGACCGAGAGGAGACGGGGGCCTCGGAGTGAGGGGCCGGGCCAGGTACCGACCCATCGGCAGTGCACTCCTGCTCCAGAGGCGCCTCCTCGGCCAGGGGCACCGGTCGCGCCGCAGCTTGTCGTAACCGTGGATCCACCGGAGGCCTCAGAGGATTCTTAGACAAGATCCCCGGTTGGGCAGCAGCTTGTTGTAGCCGTGGCTCCACCGGTGACCTCAGCGCCATCGGCTGTGCCGCGGTTTGGGACCGTGATACCACCGAAGGCGGAGAATGTGCGCGCAGCGAGGAGTGGAGCGGCAGAGCCGGGGCAGCAACCTGAGAACCACCGGATCGTCTCAAAACAGCCTCTTTTAAGATTTTTCGTCTGGATGATGATTTAGCGCGCTGTACGGTTGACTTGTGGGGACTTATGGACTGAGAGGACAGGGGAGCAGTGGCCACTGGATATACCGGAGCATCGTTTGTAGTAGCCTGAAGTGGGCTTGCGTCCCTTGAGACTGGGACCTTACTGTGGAGAGCGGGGAAATCGGTAGAAGAGTCCAGATTGGGGGGTGCCTGAACCGGAGCGGGAGAAGCAGGTGAGTCCGATGTCAGCACAGAGAAACGGTTTGTAAGGTTAAGTCGGAGGGGGATTTCAGATGTACGACTTCTGTCGTTATTACATAATACGGAAGCATCGCGAGGCAACGGGGAATGCGGGGTTGAGCAGGTGGGACGGGACGTGGCCTGTGGGTCCCATACTATTGTGTCCATGAGGGCGCTGTTGAGTAAGGCTATGCGTTTATGTTGTCCTGAGGCAACATCCATTAGTTTAGCGATTATTTCATCCTTTTCCTTAAGTTCAGTGGATAGTCGCTGGATCTGTGCTTCTAGATGTGTGAATGTTTTGCCATCGTTGTCTGGATTTAAGGGGGATTGTCTTTCTCCCGGTGGCATGGCTGACAGTGGTAGGCCACTCGGCCTTAGGATTTCAGAACGAGCCAATAGAGCGTCTTAAGAGTGATAAAATAGCTTGGTATGCTATAAAAACTGCTTAGTAATTGTAGTAATCCAATATATGCAAAAAACTCCAGGCAGATTAGTCCAGATGATAGTTTGTAACAGACAGATGTGAGGCCTGCTCAGACAGTTGCAGCCATCTTGTCTCTCAGACATGGATCTATAATATTAATGAACTGTATCGAATCAATTTGAAATATATTGTGTCAATTCGAAAGCTCACTGTATTGAGATAGGTATCATATCGTGGCTTATTTATCGAGGTATGTATCATATCAGCAACTTCTTATTGATACCAGCCCTAATGGAAATTAATGAACTATGTGGCATTATACTAATTAATCACATTGTTTGGTCAGTTCTCATTTATGTGTAATTGACACAATTAAAACAAGATCAACATTGGGCAATTTGTTGGTAGTCAACACTCCTGAATGTCTTAACATTTCCTGCAATCTAGAGCACAAAATATCTGTTTTATCATTAGATGTTAATCCAGGAGGAGCGTTTGAAACGAGTAGATTTATAAGTTTGTTTTTTTTATCATTTGGAAGGACACATTTATAATATATTTGGTTGTTTTCTTGGGTGCAGGTGAATTGTGAGACCGACTTTGTGGCTCGTAATGAGAAGTTTCAGGAGCTGGTGAAGGCTGTCGCTTTTGCCACTTTGGCTCATCACAAAAACAAACCTCAGAAACACACTGGATATGTCAAGGTAACATTATTAAAAGCATATGATTCTCAGGTCTATATTAGATTCTATTTATTCAGTCTTTGGACCATTTTGGATTAAGATTGTTGCAAAATGGATTTGCAGTGTTGTGTTTCTTATAAAGGACTTTGTGTATTTAACAAATATTTGAACTTCACAGAAATCTGTATTTATTTAAACCATTAAGGCAACAATCAGGAGAACATACACATAAATCAAAATGTACATCAACTTTTTTGAATTTCTTACTTTGTTCAGTAGATGACATCTAGTCTGTATCATGTCTGTTGTTTTAGAATTGTCCTTTGCTGCCCTCTGGTGTTACTTAAATGTAATAGCTATAGTATGTCCCATCCTGAATGTGTGAATGACATTTTGGATGGTCCTCATCGTTCTCCTCGTGTTTCAGAGTCTTCTGGGAGGAGAGGACCTGAGCAAACTCACTCTCACTGAAGGAGTCACTCTCGCCGACCACGTGGCTTTTGTAATCGGTCAGTGAAATGTACAGTGCTGGATGAATTCATTTAATATACAACTCTCTCAAAAATATCAGTGTTTTTTATGAAAACATTTTAAATACAATCACATATGACAACCTACAAAAAAAATTTAAAAATAGCACTGTAACAACTAGGATTTCAATCAATGTATATGCTCATTATATTCTTTGGTTAGATCACAGAAGACGAGAGTCCTGCTAAATTAAAGATAAAGTGAAGCTGCTACATTTTGATTTGATATTGATTGATTTATATGCAAAATATTTTTTATCCAAAAACTTCTGAATTACTGCTTTGGCTGAGTGAAGAAACCTCTTTCAACATGTTCAGGAGTCAATGTTTATTCCAGTTACCATTATTATAATTGTATAGCTTTTGTTGCACTTTTAGACAGATATTTGTTTGTTGTTTTTACGGCTGCAACTAAGTTATTTCTATGATACATTCAGACATTTTAGATTCATTATCAACCAAATAAAGGTTGAAATATGAACACTGAAGACTTTTAAATAAAGAATATTTACAAATATAAGACTTTTCACTGTGATTGTGTTGAACCATGTGAGCCCTTCATTATCCTCACACTTCCCTCTGTATCCTCCTCCCTCAGGTCGTCTTGGTGAAAACATGTCTGTGAAGCGCGCGGTGACTCTGGGCGTCCCTTCAGACTGGCACATCGGCTCGTACGTGCACGGCTCTGTCCCCGGGCAGGCGGAGGTGGTGATGGGGCGGTACGGAGCCCTGGTGGTCTTCCAGGGAGGTCCGGCCGGAGAGGAGGGGGCTTTGGGGCGTAAACTGGGGCAGCACGTGGTGGGAGAGGCCCCCGTGGCTCTGGGGAACATGGAGGATCTCCCGTGCGGAGAGGGAGAGACTCGACTTTTGGCACAGACGTTTTTGGGCGACCCGAGCCGAACCGTAGCACAGTTTCTGAAAGGGAAGCAGGCGCGAGTTCTGGACTTTGTGAGGTTTCAATGTGGGGAGAAATCAGGGGAAGAAGGACAATAAATATTTAGTCAGTTACAAATGGAATATAATGTATGCTAAATGAATTTCAGCAAATGTATGGGTCAATTAAATAATTCAAACTGTCTCACAATAAATGATCATTGTCATTTTATTGAATTAAATCTCGACTGGTGAATTTCTATGGGATTGTTGTGAGTGATCATGTCACTTCCAGGTCCAACCAGCTGACTCCTATTTTTATTTTTGTTTCTTATTCATCGAACAAGGTCAATTAAATCACCAAAACTGTATAAAGTATTTAGATTTTTTTTTTAATTCTGAGTAACTTTTTGTGGTCAGCTTAGAATGTTACCCAGTATGGCATTAAACTTATTTATGGCAAAAGAAGAATTCAATTTGTCGACTGGACAAAGTTTATTTTGGTTGACCAAAATAGACTTTTGTCCAGTTGACAAATTGAATTTCTTCTTTTGTCATGGATTCTACCTGGATGACTGAGGGGCTGTAAACTTATTTATCTTATTTATTTATCTGAACAGGTGATGCCAGTTGTTCTTGTTACTGATCAGAGGTAGGAATGTAACAGTAACCGAAATATTGTGATATTGTATCGTCAAAGTTCTCACAATAATATCGTGGACCATCACAATATATCGAATTACAAGTCTCTTTGCTTAAATTAAGAGTTTTGTTACAGCAATAGCTAAAAAAAAAAGACAGAGGGAACTACATAGACCATGATCCTTTGCTCCATTTCAGTGCAGACTACAAGAAGAAATAATAGTTCTAACACTTTTAAGTCTTAGTTTTTTGGATTAAGTCTTGTCAAGGCATTTTAAGAGGAAAAAGTCACGTATTAACAGTTTTGAGCTTCCACAAAATATTGTCCAGCACCCTGAGACTGTACGCAGGCCGGAAGGAAGGGGGCCGAGGACTAGTGAGTGTGGGAACCACTGTCCAAGATGAAACATCCAAGCTCCTTGAGTACATCAAGGACAAGGCCCCGGCAGATGAGGTGCTCAGAGAATGTCTCAGACAGTGGGGTCCAGAGGAAGAGGTGCTGGAGGGACCATCATGGCAGGACAAACCCCTACATGGGGCGAACCACCGGAACATAACTGAAGTGGCTGATATCAAGAAATCCTACCAATGGCTTGAGAGGGCTGGTCTGAAGGACAGCACAGAGGCACTGATCCTGGCTGCTCAGGAGCAGGCCCTGGGCACTCGAGCAATAGAGGCCCAGATCTACCACACCAGACAAGACCCACGGTGTAGACTGTGCAAAGAGGCTCCTGAGACAGTCCAGCACATAACTGCGGGGTGTAAGATGCTGGCAGGGAAAGCATACATGGAGCGACATAACCAAGTGGCGGGCATAGTGTACAGAAACATCTGTGCAGAGTACGGGCTGGAAACCCCAGGATCAAGGTGGGAAACACCTCCAAAGGTTGTGGAGAATGACCGAGCCAAGATCCTGTGGGACTTCCAGATACAGACTGACAGAATGGTGATGGCGAACCAACCAGACATAGTGGTGGTGGATAAGAAACAGAGCAGAGCCGTGGTGGTGGACATCGCAATACCAAGCGATGGTAATATCAGGAAAAAGGAACACGAGAAGCTAGAGAAATACCAGGGGCTCAAGGAAGAGCTGGAGAGAGCCTGGAAAGTAAAGGCATCAGTGGTGCCTGTGGTGATCGGAGCACTCGGGGCTGTAACCCCAAACTGGAAGAGTGGCTTCAACAGATACCGGGAAAAACAATGGACATCTCAGTCCAGAAAAGTGCAGTACTGGGAACAGCAAAGATACTGCGCAGAACTCTCAAGCTCCCAGGCCTCTGGTAGAGGACCCGAGCTCAATGAGGGTGAGAGAAGGTGGAAGGTGAGAAACACATTTTTTTTTTTTTTTTTTTTTTATATATATATACACACACACACACACACACCATATATATATATGCATATATATGGTATATATATATGCAGCTACAAAACAAAACATAGACCACAAATACATGGATCATGACAGGAAGGGTTCAAGCTGAAGCAAAATTACCAAACCCTTTTAAACAATGACAGAATTTCAAGAAAGAAAAGCAGCACATGAACAACAAGTTTATATTTACAATTTCATTTAGGACTCACTGTACATATAAAAGACAAAATATAAATTAAAACAAACTAAATTTAATGCATGATTCATTCATTCCACAGCTCTATATCTTTCTTATATAACGCTTTAGGATACACTTACGTTCTTCTATGTCTTATTAAGTATATTTTATTCATTTTATGTTTTACATCGCAAAACTGCTCTAAGGTTCATATTTGTAGCCTATATTTATTTTCAATTTGAAAGTTTATTAAATTATCAATAACAAAGTGTTTTTTGTTTTTGTTTTGTTTTTTGAGAGAGTGAAATGCTGAATAAATGCATTGTGTAAGTAAAAAAAAAAAAAAAAATAGTTTGAATAATCATGATTTCAATATTGACCAAAATAATCATGATAATGATTTTTCCATAATAGAGCAGCACTAATCATTACAAATGTAAATGTGTCAGTTTGATGTGTGACTTTGTGCACTAAAACATGGATAATGATTTAAGTTTTATAAACATTTAACTGTACTCATCCAAGGTTTGCTCTGGATCTTATATGTACTCAGTTTCTTGCACTAACACTAAAATGAGTAACTCTGCATTTATGTTTGGCAAAAGTAGCTCACTGGAGGAAAAAGGTTGGAGAGCCCTGCTTTAGCCTCTTGTAGACTTACTCAGAGTCACCAAAACTTTACTCAACTTTACTTTATTCATTATGTCTGGTTTAGTCCTGTTTTAGTCCTGGTTTAGTTCTGTTTTACAGTTTACTACTGGTTTAGTCCTGGTTTAGTCCTGGTTTAGCCTTGGGTTAGTTCTGGTTTACTCCTGGTTTAGTCCTGGTTTAGTTCTGGTTTTAGTTCTAGTTTAGTTCTGATTTACTCCTGGTTTACTCCTGGTTTAGTTCTGATTTACTCCTGGTTTACTCCTGGTTTAGTTCTGATTTACTACTGGTTTAGTCCTTGGTTAGTCCTGGTTTATTCTTGGGTTAGTTCTGGTTTAATCCTGGTTTAGACTTTTAGTCCTGGTTTACTCCTGGTTTAGTCCTGAGTTAGTCCTGGTTTAGTCTTGGTTTAGTCTTGGTTTAGTTCTGGTTTAGTCCTGGTTTAGTTCTGGTTTAGTCTTGATTTAGTTCTGGTTTAGTAGTTCTGTTTAGTCCTGGTTCACCAAAACTTTTCTCAACTTTACTTTATTCAAGTAGTATTGCAGTATACTGAGTATTGTCAAATATATTAGTCAAGAGGTGCTGTATCTGAAACTATTTATATGATTATTTTAGTAGATAATAATATGCTGTAAACATTCACACATACAAACTGAGACAGCAAAACTAAACCAGGATCAGATGAGGACACGTGTGAGTGCAGCTCCATGCTCTGCCTCATTCACTCTGCACTCACGCAAAACTGCACTGTCATCCTCAGCACTAATGCTCCAAACTTAAACCCACACTTCAATAAACACACAAATCCTTCATAAACACTGAAAATCAAGCAGTACCTTTGTGTTTTTTGCGTATCCAGGAGAAGAGATAGAGCAGGAGAGTGATAGAGAGCAGCCAGTGCACACAGATGAGGTCCCCAAACATCTCCTCCTTTGGTCCGGCTCAAAAAACAAAACCAGGCTTAGGCCAGCGCAAAGTCTGGATCTGTCTATTAATAACCCTGATATCATTAGGCCACAACAGAGCCTCTGTCATGTACACTTAATATGATCAAGACCTGCCTCTTTCAACTAAAGGTGAGATCAACTTTTAGAAAATAAAGACACAAATTACACAAAATAAAGTTATATTTAAACCATGTTAAGAATGTCTCTTCAAAAACAGACCTGGACTTGTGTTTTGTTTCATTTACACATGTTTGATACACCCTTTATTATTAGTCTGTTTACATCCCCAAAGCTCAAAATACTCTGTTCCACCTTGTGATGTCATCAAGTGGTAGTTACCTTTTACATTTAGTTCAGTAGAGATCAGCAATTCCAGCACAAAATGATCCAAATGATTTTTAGTAAAAGTGACGGAGTTTAAAAACACGGTGGAGCACTTCTTGTATTACCACATGGCATCACAAGGTGTGGTTTTAGTCCTGTTTTTTGTCCTGGTTTAGTTCTGGTTTTAGTCCTGGTTTTAGTCATGGTTTAGTCCTAGTTCAGTCCTGGTTTAGTCCTTTTTTTTAGTCCTAGTTCAGTCCTGGTTTAGTCCTTTTTTAATCCTGGTTTAGTCCTGTTTAATCCTGGTTTAGTCCTGCTTTATATAAATACAAATGTTATTCTTCTTATGACATGTTGCAGGTGTACCTAATAAAGTGTCCACCTTGTTATCATCTCCAAAGCTCAAAATGCTCTGTTCCACCCTGTGATGTCATGAAGTGGTAGTTACCATTTACATTTTGTTCAGTAGAGATCAGCAATATCAGGACTAAATCATCCAAATGATTATTAGTGAAGGTGACACAGTGGAGCACTTCCTGCATCACCACATGACATCACAAGGTGTGGTTTAGTCCTGGTTTAATCTCTTTTAGTCATGGTTTAGTCTTGGTTCAGTTCTGGTTTAGTCCTGGTTTAGTTCCTGTTTACTCCTGGTTTAGTCCTAGTTTAGTCCTGGTTTAGCTCTGGTTTAGTACTTGTTTAGTTCTGGTTTAGTCCTGGTTTAGACCTGGTTTAATCCTGATTTAATCCTGGTTTAGTCCTGGTTTAGCTCTGGTTTAGTGCTTGTTTAGTTCTGGTTTAGTCCTGGTTTAGACCTGGTTTAATCCTGATTTAATCCTGGTTTAGTCCTGGTTTAGTCCTTGTTTAGTCCTGGGTTAGACTTTGTTTAGTCCTCGTTTAGTCCTTTTTTAGATCCTCATTTAGTCCTGGTTTAGTTCTGGGTTAGTCCTGGTTTAGTCCTGGTTCAGTTCTCGTTTAGTCCTGGTTTAGTCCTAGTTTAGTCCTGGTTTAGTCTTTGTTTAGTCTTGGTTTAGTCCTGGTTTAGTCATTTTTTAGTCCTGGTTTAGTACTTTTTTTAGTCCTGGTTTAGTCCTTGTTCAGTTTCGTTTAGTCCTTGTTTAGTCCTAGTTTAGT